GTAAGTTTCACTCACACATGCATGCTGTAGGCCTAGTAAAACTCAAATTTTAATCCCATGAGTCATTACTACTACATGGTAATTAGATGGCCCAAAATTGACGCACAGTAGAAAAACATGTAGAACATGAAGAGAGGTTTAACTCACTCAAACAGCTGTAACTGTGTCCCCAACGGAAGCTTAAGTATGGTAAGCACATGAATTGAATCCCAGTTTAAACACAATTCTAGTCATATGGGGGAGTTGGGGGGTCCTACTAGTAGTAGTACTAGTAGTGGTATTTATCGATATGATACTACATCATGTATGTGTATAGAGCATTCCTGATGTACAAATGACACAGCTAGAAAATCTCTGCCAACTCTATACAATAAGGAAGTCCCCTATGATCCTATGATAACAAGAAATATAGCCTTAGTAGTATAAATCATCTACTCTTGGGTATTGTGTGCAAGTAGTGACATATCTAAATGACTACTAGTAGAAGCCAGCTGACCATAGAAATACATTGTTCATATTATGCCAAAAGAAGGTACTCAATACAATTGTCTAACTGTACACAACTATTGAAGTAGATGACTTAAATAACAAAAGAACCAAACCACTGAAATTGCCCAAATATTGAGCTTTATCCACCTCAAGATGTGCAAACCAGCATACCATTATTTTGGAATGAAGGTGGTACTTGTACTTCTACTAGTAGTAGTGGTGGAAGTGACTACTTGTTCTAGTAGTACTAGTAACACTACTTATTGTTGCATCATGTAGTAGAGCTGGATAGTACCAATATAAATACTACTACTACTACTACTACTACTACTAGTAGTAGGAACAACAGCAGTCATTACACCCTGCTACTAGTAGAAAAGAAATGTAAAAAAAATTTACTATGTTGTCCTCTATTTCTTTGTAGTATTTTCACTTCTAGTACTAGTAGTAGTAGTTGCATGCAGTAGTAGTAATAGCCAATTTGTGTTACTAGTGGTACTTGTAGTACTATTACTATTTTTTGTACTGGTGATATCTTATTTTGTGTTCACTACTACTATGACCCCTGCTGCTGCCACTGCTACTGCATTCTGTTGGTGGTTACTCTAGTGTGAATGATGTGATCACACAAGTAGTAGTGGATACTAGTAGTAGTACTAGAATCATTATTGAAAAGAATTGTTCTTTTCTTTTCTTCTTTGTTGTATTACTACAAAGAAGAATAGGGGGCTAACTGATGGTGCACCAGCAAGAGCATGATACTATTGAAAAGTGGGGATATTATCAGCCAACTGTGGTAGCAGGACATTCAGACTGTCATGCTAAGACTTGTCAGGAGAGCATTGGAGTGTTGTTGTTAAGTCCAACATTCCAAATGCTATCACGAGTGACCATCACATAAAAATGCAACTGTTGTTAGTATTTGACTTCAAGTCATAGTACTAGTAGTAGTTCTTATTGTTCTATTTTTCCCTTGTTACTTTCTTGGCCTGCTGTGCAGAGGAGGAGGAGATGGTAGTAGTTCCAGTAATAGTTCAGGGTATTCTCATTCTCAAAATGTGAAATAACTTCTTCTGATGAGCAAAGAAAGGCAGGGGGCTGTTTAAGACGATTCTCACAACTTTGACATACTACTACAACTACTACTACTACTACTAGTACCAGTAGTTGTGGTGAGCACCGCCAGTACAAGTAGTATTAGTACCAAAACTTCTAGTACTACTTTAGAAGTGTACTAGGACAGAAGGTAAAAGTCAAAATCAGAATCCAGGTGCCAACAAATACAGGACAATAAATATTTCTTAAATAGGACAGAGCAGATGCACATCCACGATCACGCATCATAGTATGGTTGATGTAAATACTAGTAACTGGTGAGAACATATCCCCCAGGAGCAACCACAGGTGTACTTCTCCTCCACGAGAAGAAACAATGGTTTTACTGGTCACCCCAGCAGTGCCTCATCTAGTACTAGTTCATCAGAAGGTTACTAATACAGTATTATTGAAAGCAACTGATGGGAGTACTACTAGTACTACCCACCAACCAAAGCTCTCAGAAAAACAACGGATGATCAGAAATCATGTTAAAAGCACTCATTTTGGAAAAAAAAAGCTTCCGTAAACATGAACACCCGTAAAAGTCAACAACCAAGAACCGAGGGTAAAAAAACCAGGTCAATGACACTGAACAAAAGAGGTTTGGATGTAGAAACAAAACAGGTAAATAACNGGCTGCTGGACTGAACTCGGCGGCTCAAAGAAATGTCATCAAATGCGTGACGAGGATACAACACACAAAAACATACCCAATGAGAGTCGACTTTCGGGTGGTGTAATCATTCGATACTTTCTCGTCTTTGCTTTCGACACTGATATCTCCCATGGATCCGACTCGCTTGATAGGTTTGCTGGGGAGTTCTCCGGCGCCTCCTTCGGTTGCGGCTCGCGGTGGCATCTTTGTTGCTTCTCGTTGATAGGTACGTGATACTGCGAATGGACGTCTTTCTCGATATGTTGCGGCGCTTTCTTTTAGAAGGATACGTTTCCACCTTATTTCTGCAAAATAGGATTTGCAGTTCAGTTGGATACTGTATTGTGGAAAGCAATAGGGTAGACAGTTCTTTCGATACACTGGCAGACAGAGGTTGGGATCGACAATTTGTTCGGACGTATTGGATGGATGATACCCAAATCCTCGTATTTCAGTGTCGACACGAAGAAAGAACAAACGAGTATCATCACCTGCGCCCATCGACCACTATGGATGCTGTCGTCGTCTCCTTTACCCTAGCGAGTGTCGACATACTTGTCTGATTGTTTTACGTCATCGTATCGCGCGTCCAAAAAGATCAACAAATTCGCGCGAACGAGCATATTTGTAACATGTGACGTGTGTACCCGTACGCGCTTCAGATGGGGGTGAGTGGAGCGCTTCAGATGGGTGAGTGGAACGGAGTGAAAAAACAAAATAATAACAGGTGGGTGGTTCTAGCTACTGCTACTACTACTAGTAGTGCAACAACAACAACAACAAAACTGTAGCAGTTGGGTCTGTATAGAATGGTGGATACTCCATCCCTGTGTGCAAAATGACCCTCCTGCTCATGGCTCAGTGGTGGTGGTGTCCTGTTAATTCCAAAGCACTTCTTCTTGGAACAAAGAGGAAGTGTAGTAGTAGTACTAGTACTGCTGTTTGTTGTCCAAACACCAAAAGCAAGAGTGATACTAAAATTCTTTGCAGAGAACAAAAGAACAACAACAACAAAGCCCTGCTGCTGCCTGCTGTAGTAGAGGAGGGTTGGTGATGCAGCCCAGAAGAGACTGAAACCACCAACTCCTCCACCAACCATGATCATGATTAAAAAGCCAGCAGCAGCAGGGGCAAAAACAATGTATCTACTAGTCTTTCTACTAATTCATCATCTTCTCCTGCTTTCTCTGGTGCTAGTGGTGCTGTTTTTGCTGTGGTGGACAAAAACAAAAATACTACTAGTATGAGCTTGATGCTGAAGATACGGTTCTTGACAAGAATGGTGAAGATGAGAAGAAGCCCAGCAACAAAAAGAAGAGTGCAAAGAGCAAGAAAGAGACGAGTAATAGAAAGGATAAAGCTACTAGTAGTACACAGTATCATTACGACAAGAAGTTGAAGAGCAGGGATCAGCAGAGGCAGGATGAGTGAGCTGAAGGACAAGGAGGCATGTACTTCAATAACTGCTACTACTACTACTAGTTAGGTGAAGTACTAAATACTAGTTGCAAATTTATCCTAGCAAATGCATTCCTCCATCATTGCTAGCATTACTACTACTAAAAGAGTCAATGCCCTTTACAAGCAAGATGGAAATAAAAGTAGATACAGCACCAGTGTTTCCTTGTAGTAGTACTAGTAGATGCATTTGTGAGGGCATTGAAGAATCCCCCCTGGCAAACCCTAAGACCATTTTTCTGCAGGGAATAGAGGAGTGTGCAATTATCAATGTCATAGCTTCATACATTAGTAATCAGATGAACCTGACTCTACCAAAGTGTCCAGAACTCATCTGATTACTAGCTGGTGGTGTGTGTTTTTAAAGAGGAGGACCAATAGTAGTACTGAAAGATAAGGATTCATCGGTCAAACAGCTGCACAAAGTGGATACAAAAGTTTCACTCACACATGCATGCTGTAGGCCTAGTACAAGTCAAATTTTAATCCCATGAGTCATTACTACACGGTAATAAGATGGCCCAAAATTGACGCACAGTAGAAAAACATGTAGAACATGAAGAGAGGTTTAACTCACTCAAACAGCTATAACTGTGTCCCCGAGGGAAGCTTAAGTATGGTAAGCACATGAATTGAATCCCAGTTTAAACACAATTCTAGTCATATGGGGGAGTTGGGGGGTCCTAGTAGTAGTGGTATTTATCACTATGATACTACATGTATGTGTATAGAGCATTCCTGATGTACAAATGACACAGCCAGAAAATCTCTGCCAACTCTATACAATAAGGAAGTCCCCTATGGTCCTATGATAACAAGAAATATAGCCTTGTTAGTATAAATCATCTACTCTTGGGTATTGTGTGCAAGTAGTGGCATATCTAAATGACTACTAGTAGAAGCCAGCTGACCATAGAAATACATTGTTCATATTATGCCAAAAGAAGGTACTCAATACAATTGTCTAACTGCTGTACACAACTATTGAAGTAAATGGTGACTTAAATAACAAAAGAACCAAACCACTGAAATTGCCCAAATATTGAGCTTTATCCACCTCAAGATGTGCAAACCATACCATTATTTTGGAATGAAGGTGCTACTTGTACTTCTACTAGTAGTAGTGGTGGAAGTGACTACTTGTTCTAGTAGTAGTAACACTACTTATTGTTGCATCATATAGTAGAGCTGGATAGTACCAATATAAATACTACTACTACTAGTAGTAGTAGTAGTAGTAGTAGTAGTAGTAGTAGTAGTAGTAGTAGTAGTAGTAGTAGTAGTAGTAGGAACAACAGCAGTCATTACTACACCCTGCTACTAGTAGAAAAATGTCAAAAAAATTTACTATGTTGTCCTCTATTTCTTTGTAGTATTTTCACTTCTACTACTAGTAGTAGTAGTAGTAGTAGTAGTAATAGCCAATTTGTGTTACTAGTGGTACTAGTAGTACTATTACTGTTTTTTGTACTGGTGATATCTTATTCTGTGTTCACTACTATGACCCCTGCTGCTGCCACTGCTACTGCATTCTGTTGGTGGTTACTCTAGTGTGAATGATGTGATCACACAAGTAGTAGTGGATACTACTAGTAGTACTAGAATCATTATTGAAAATAATTGTTCTTTTCTTGTTTGTTGTATTACAAAGAATAGGCAGGCTAACTGATGGTGCACCAGCAAGAGCATACTATTGAAAAGTGGGGATATTATCAGGCAACTGGTTGTGGTAGCAGGACATTCAGACTGGTGTCATGCTAAGACTTGTCAGGAGAGCATTCTTGGAGTGTTGTTGTTCAGTCCAACATTCCAAATGCTATCACGAGTGACCATGACATAAAAATTCAACTGTTGTTATTTGACTTCAAGTCATACTAGTAGTAGTTCTTATTGTTCTATTTTTCCCTTGTTACTTTCTTGGCCTGCTGTGCAGGGGAGGAGCAGGAGATGGTAGTTCTAGTAGTAGTTCAGGGTATTCTCATTCTCAAAATGTGAAATAACTTCTTCTGATGAGCAAAGAAAGGCAGGGGGCTGTTGTAGATGATTTTCACAACTTTGACATACTACAACAACAACAACAACTACAACTACTAGTACTACTAGTACTACTACTGGTACTAGTACCAGTAGTTGTGGTGAGCACCGCCAGTACAAGTAGTATTAGTACCCAAATTTCTAGTACTACTTTAGAAGTGTACTAGGACAGAAGGTAAAAGTCAAAATCAGAATCCAGGTGCCAACAAATACAGGACAATAAATATTTCTTAA